GTGGTAGTGGTGGTAGTAGTAGTAGTAGTAGTAGTATTAGTACTAGTACCAGTACTAGGACTAGGGGGAGGAGGGCAAGTGAAAGCAAAGTTTCATATAGTTTGGCATAGTTTACGAAAGCTCAACCTCATCTCCCCAAGCAGAAATTTAGATATATAATTTAGAAAAACTATCAGATTATATGCGTATATATATATTTAATACAATATATATATAATATTTAAAAACAGTACACATCACATAGAACAAAAACAAAATTGAAGTCCGTTCCGTAGAGGGCTATGGAAGCCATGACGGACAATCTGGATGACAATGTGGATGTCATAATTGCAATGTGTGAAACTTGGCCTCATGCAGGGGTTGGTCAATGTCCCTTTTTGATGAATTTGAACATTATTTTGAAATATTCATTGGAGATTGTATCCCCAATAGTTGGGCCAATAGTTGGGTGATGTGTAAGTAGGACATTTACCAACCCCTATCATGGCCTCATCATTTGTGGGGGTTTAGTGCGCCAAGATGCACCAACCTCCACTGATGTGGGTTGCTTGTCATCTAGTGTGCTTTCTTCTGATGTCTTTGGAGAGTTGATATGAGTTGACATCTTTGCAGTTTTCTCATCTTTCACAAGAATGAACAAGTCAAATGCTGCGGGCCAGGTCGCAGGGCCAAAATGATGGCCTAACGCCCAGCAAGGCCCACATCTCAGAGAGTCAGCTGGTTTTCCTTTGATACGTGGCACAACATTGAAACATATTGACACATGTCAAGATGATTGCTGAAGTTTCTGAAGTTCAACATCCTCAGGATCATTTGACTATCACCACTGTTTCGGGGGGATTTGGCTAGGTTGGAGCCACGTTTTTCAAGCTTCACAATCGATGAAAATAGATCAAGAGGGGGTTTGTCTGAAAATAGATTACGCCAAAGTCTGTTGAACAGGGCATGATTATCATGGGCAGGTTCAAAACCTTGTTAGTTGATTTCTATATGATGTTTTACTATTCAATAAGAATCGGGGATGATCACTGTTCATGAGCTGGGAAATCCGCTCTTAACCAGCCAGCATCATGTCTTCAAAGGCCGTAACTAAACCCATTACCAATATCTCTTGTCAAGTCTCACAGTCCGACATCATAGAAATTGGGTTCATGCGAGTGATGGGCGATGGATCTGGTGTCTTAACCGCGTCGCTTCAGGCGCTGCCTCCTCCGGAATTCCCTCCAAGATGTTTGTGCCAGGCTTCACCGACTTGATGTCTTACCAGCCTTGGCTGCTTTTGCGTGTGATGTGTAATACATTATCTAACATTTTGATATACTATAGAGATGTAGCATGCATATCCGTATATTGCATTCGCTACACATTGATTCATGCACCATAATACATGGACACAGGGCCTGCCTCGCGACTGCCATTGAAGGACGCAGCGGCCTGGGAGGCAGCTGATTCAGTTGCAAAAGCCATGTGGCTGTCCGTAAAGGCAGGTAAAACTCTGCGTTTTTAATGTCTTCAAAGGCTAGCAAATCCGCTCTTAACCAGCCAGCATCATGTCTTCAAAGGCCGTAACTAAACCCATTAACAATATCTTTTGTCAAGTCTCACAGTCCGACATCATAGAAATTGGGTTCATGCGAGTGATGGGCGATGGATCTGGTGTCTTAACCGCGTCGCTTCAGGCGCTGCCTCCTCCGGAATTCCCTCCAAGATGTTTGTGCCAGGCTTCACCGACTTGATGTCTTACCAGCCTTGGCTGCTTTTGCGTGTGATGTGTAATACATCATCTAACATTTTGATATACTATATGGATGTAGCATGTATATCCATATATTGCATTCGCTACACATTGATTCATGCGCCATAATACATGGACACGCGGTCTGCCTCGCAACTGCCATTGAAGGATGCAGCGGCCTTGGAGGCAGCTGAAAAACCATGTGGCTGTCCGTAAAGACAGGTAAAACTCTGACTTTTAAATGTCTTCAAAGGCTAGCAAATCCGCTCTTAACCAGCCAGCATCATGTCTTCAAAGGCCGTAAACCCATTAACAATATCTTTTGTCAAGTCTCACAGTCCGACATCATAGAAATTGGGTTCATGCGAGTGATGGGCGATGGATCTGGTGTCTTAACCGCGTCGCTTCAGGCGCTGCCTCCTCCGGAATTCCCTCCAAGATGTTTGTGCCAGGCTTCACCGACTTGATGTCTTAGCAGCCTTGGCTGCTGTTGCGTGTGATGTGTAATACATCATCTAACATTTTGATATACTATATAGATGTAGCATGTATAATCATATATTGCATTCGCTACACATTGATTCATGCGCCATAATACATGGACACACGGTCTGCCTCGCAACTGCCATTGAAGGACGCAGCGGCCTTGGAGGCAGCTGAAAAACCATGTGGCTGTCCGTAAAGACAGGTAAAACTCTGACTTTTTTTGAATGGCTTTGGATGATTGTTTGTTTGATTTTGGGATGTTTTCATCATTTTGGAGGATTTTGGAGATTTTTGATGATTTGTCATGATGTTTGAAGCAAACCCGCGTCATTTTTAGAACAAAGCTCGAATCAGAAACTTCCCGCGAACACAAAGAATCAGAAACTAAAACCCGCGAATCAGGAACTAAAATCCGCGAATCAGAAACTAAAATCCAACGAATCAGAAACCAAAAACCGCGCGAATCAGAAACAAAAATACAGGAATCAGATACAAAACCCCGCGAATCAGAAACTGAGAATATCCTTTTCAACATTGTGTTCAGAGGGGTGGCGGGTTTGATCCCTTCTGAGGATAAGTTGGCCATAATATCTCATAAAAAAAATGTTCAGAGGGGGTGGCAGATGTGGCTTCAGATTCGCTTTTTTTTGGTTTCTGATTCGTGGGCTTGTTTGGTTTCTGATTCGCAGATCTTGGTGTATGATTAGCAACTTTTTGTCTCTGATTGCATTTATTTATTTTTTCCTCGTGAGGGATAAAATCCGCCACCCCCTCTGGCCATTCTGTTGAATGAGATATTACCTTCAACTTATCCACATATGGATCAAATCCAGCACCCCCTCTGACCATTATTTTGCATGAGATATTACCTTCAAAGTATCCTCGTAAGGGATCAAAGCCGGCACCCCCTCTGACCATTATGTTGAATGAGGTATTACCTTCAAAGTATCCCCATATGGGACCAAATCCGGCACCCCCTCTGACCATTTTGTTGAACGAGATATTACCTTCAAAGTATCCTCATAAGGGATCGAATCCGGCACCCCCTCTGACCATTATGTTTAAAGTTTAATGAGATATTACCTTCAACTTCCTTTTGTAAGGTATCAAAGCCCCCATCCCCTCTGAACACTTTGTTGAATGGGATATTACCTTCAACTTGTCTTCATAAGAAATCAAATCCGCCACCCCACCTGGCCATTATGTTTATCTTCATAAGAAATTACTTCCTCCACCCCCTCTGGCCATTATTTGAACAGGATATTACCTCCAACTTCTCTTTCCGATTGAAGGGGACAAGTTGCCCATTCTGATTGATTCAGCTGGTTCGGTTTAATTTCCGATTCTCCGGCTTTAGTTTCCGATTCACCTGCTTTAACCTGCTTTAGTTTACGATTCAGCTGTGGTTGCCGATTCCGGGTTTTTGGTTTACGATTCAAGGTTCTTGGTTTTCGATTCACGGGTTTTAGTTTCCGATTCTTTTGGTTTCCGATTAGCAGGTTTTAGTTTCCGATTAACGGGTTTTGGTTTCCGATTAACGGGTTTTGGTTTCCGATTCACGGCTTTTTGTTTCCGATTAACGGATTTTAGTTTCCGATTAATAGCTTGACCGCCATTTCGGAGGCAAGCCCGCCGGCCATTCAGGTGGCGGTACTGATCGACCACTACATTGGGTATGCGTTCCATTGGTTGTTCGAGCACGAACTTGCTACTCAAGCTGCTTCCGATCTACGGCTCTGTCTTCGTCTCTTCTTCTCTCAGGCTTCCACCTTGGGGCAATCTCTCTCCGCTTCCACCCTGTCTCCTTCCATGCAGCGGTCTGCTGTCAAGCCAGAGGCTCATACATAGTACCTGGCGCTACTTTGCTGGGGGCGGTACCCATTTGGTATACGGTCAATAGGTTGCTACAGCAAAACCTTGCTACACAAGCCGCTTCCGTTTTACGGATTTATCTTTGTCTTCCGTTCTTATTCTTCTTATTCTTCTTATTCTTCTTCTTCTTCTCCTTCTTTTCCCTTCTGCTCTCTCGCGGGCTTCCACCTAGAATGCACATCAAACTCCCTTGGGGCCACCTCTCTGTGGCCGGCGGGCTTGCCGAAGGCAATTAAATAACCCTTTCCCTCTACTACTAAACACCTCCCACAAACCGTGGATGTAGGGCCTGTAGGGGATGAAACCACACATTTGGGACCATACAATGGGGGTGTTTAGTATTATGGGCATGGAATTAGGGAACATGGATACAACCATAGTCAACAAGAATGGCTTATTAATTCCGGTATACCCAAATATCAGATTGTTGAGTATCAAATAATCAAAACATATCCCATTCATATTCCCTTCATAGTTGGATGAGTTCACTACTAAGGGTGAACATAGTGGTGATTATTATAGAATATACATCAATATACTATGAAGTCCAATAATATAGTAGATAGTTGGACATAACATAGTGCCGCTGGCCATCTCAGGAACCTAAATTGGAGGTACCTACCATATACAAGGCCTATTTTTAGGCCTATGTAAGGGAATATCACCACAATATATAGCCTTATATGGCACAGTACCTCCATTTTAGGATCCTGAAATTCCCATTGACTATAGTATTCATGGTGCAAATCTAAACCAACAAACATTTCACTGGACCCAACTTTAAGATACTTCAGTTGCGGTATAACTAACATAACTGTTGGGTTTTCATGGCTGAGTATAGATGGTTCACTACTCCCTCCCTGCTAGTGGACTTCATCCACTCCATCCACCGCACCCAGCTACTCCATCCGAAGTTCATCGAAGTGGGGACTACTGAGACCCGCCTGCAACCTGCGATGCGTCTGCGAGGTTGAAGGTGGTGCCCCTTCCGTGGTTCTGACGGAGCTGGCATCTAGCTACCTATCTATCTATCTATCTATCTAATCTAATCCAATCCAATCCAATCTAATCTATCTATCTACCTATCTATCTGTCAAGCTATCTGTCTATCTATCTATCTGTCTGTCTGTCTGTCTGTCTATCTATCTATTTATCTATCTATCTATCTATCTGTCTAGCTATCTATCTAGCTACCTATCTATCTATCTATCTATCTGTCTAGCTATCTGTCTAGCTACCTATCTATCTATCTATCTGTCTATCTATCTATCTATCTGTCTAGCTATCTATCTGTCTGTCTGTCTGTCTAGCTACCTATCTATCTATCTATCTATCTGTCTAGATATCTATCTATCTGTCAAGCCATCTGTCTAGCTACCTATCAATCTATCTGTCTAGCTATCTGTCTAGCTACCTATTTATCTATCTATCTATCTGTCTGTCTAGCTATCTGTCGAGCTATCTTTCTCTCTATCTATCTATCTGTCTAGCTATCTACCTATCTAAATGTCTGTCTGTCTAGCTATCTGTCTAGCTACCTATCTATCTATCTATCAATCTATCTTTCTGTCTGTCTATCTATCTAACTATCTGTCTGTCTGTCTAGCTACCTATCTAGCTACCTATCTATCTATCTATCTGTCTAGCTATCTATCTATCTGTCTGTCTGTCTAGCTATCTATCTACCTATCTCACCTATCTTACCTATCTTACCTACCCACCTACCTACCTATCTTTCTATCTATCTATCTGTCTAGCTATCCATCTATGTGTCTAGCTATCTGTCTATCTATCTATCTATCTGCCTAGCTACCTACCTATCTATCTATCTATCTGTCTATCTATCTATCTATCTGCCTGTCTGTCTAGCTATCTATTTACCTATCTTACCTGCCCACCTACCTACCTACCTATCTATCTGTCTGTCTGTCTGTCGGTCTGTCTGTGTAGCTATCTGATTAGCTATCTGTCTATCTATCTATCTGTCTATCTATCTGTCTATCTATCTATCTATCTGTCTATCTGTGTAGCTATCTGTGTAGCTATCTGTGTAGCTATCTGTCGAGCTATCTATCTATCTATCTATCAAAGCGGCCTGGTTTTTGCTGGATGCTGTGGGATCATATCCCATGGTTGAACAGTAGTATGGTTGAAATGTGAACAATCCATATTAGTAGTACTTAATCCATATTTATGGTTGAACTATATTTCATAGTAATGTTCATTAATTTAAATTGTTTCGTATTGTTCAAGTGGCGAGTATGTTTTTTTAAAGAATCTTTGAAACCATGTGGGTAAACAACTCGCCGGCATAATGTATAATCATTCGCCAGCATGAACAACTTTGGTATTTTGTGACGTTTTGATGGGTTTGTCCTTTGAAACTCATTGAAAGAAGAATTCCAATTAACCAGTGATCCAACTAGAATAATGTGGGTAAAACAATAATAAACCATCTCCCAAATCACCATTTTTATAGATGCTATAAACCATTCCCAAATGGGTGGTTTATGACATTGTTTTACCCACATTACTTCAAAATCACCAGGCAGCAACTATCACTATGTGCGACTTGTATCGACCTAGTGCTCGCCAAATCTCTTTGAGGATTTACCCCCACTTTGTCGCAATTCAAATGAATTGAAATCCTTCCTAATCCTGACTCTTTTCTGGAGTCAAAAGGACAATGAATTGAAAGTCGATTGGCATCAATTGAAATCCTTACTTAAGTATCATCCTGAGTTCCCCAGAGCTGGTCCCAATAAATTGTTTGAGCATAGAGTGTACCTCAATTGCGGGGGAGGGGTGGCCCCTGGCCCCGAATCAGTATCCAACACCAACCAGATAATAGCTAGTCCACTCATAAGTGGAGTTGAATCGACTTACTAAGGAAGATAACACACCAAGTATAGAATAACTATAGTTAAATGGCTATATAACTAAAGCATTTGATAGTTTTTCTTTAATCACATCCACCTAGGAAAAATCACTATTCCTCAGTTATCCTCAGTATATCCCATGTTCATATCACATCCCTATTAAATCATGTTAAATCTTATTAATTATGAGGAAACATAGGATAACTATGAATATTTGACCTAGCTATCCTCATAGGGATGTGATAATCCAATTAAATCATATCACATCCCAAATGTTCATAGATCATCCAGCTTTGGGGGGTTTTTGTATGAAATTCGGGTTGCTATAGATTGGATGGTTAACAATGGTTAATGATGGTTAATAATGGTTAATGATGACAAATTCAATAGGAAGTTCAGGATCCAACAGATGGAGGTACGTAAACGTACCATATTTTGGGCCATATGAATTGTGGGGATATTCATGGATATTCCCTTACTTCCCTTACCTAGGCCTAAAAAATAGGCTTTACATATGGTAGGTAGCTCCAATAAATCGGTTCCTGAAATGGCCAGTGATTATATACCAATGATTAACCATCATTAACCACTATTAACTAACCATTATTAACCACCCTCTTAACCAGAGTAGTTCACGAACCTGAAAAGTTCGGCCAAAAAGAAAGGGAATGATCTCCCTTACAAGTCCCATCATTCCAGGCAGGTCACGACATGAGGTCATTAACAATGATCCAAATCAATATCCCCTTATCCCACTAATATACCATTATCACCAATATGAAACCATATATATATAATCAATATCCATCAATAGTTGTCATTAAATCACCATTAAGCATAAAATCTGATTTAATATTGACATCATTAACTCATATTAAATCAATACCATTGAATATGATGGTGCCCAGTGACATCTGCTCGTAGGCCCTTCCCGCTTCCAAGGACTCTTTCGTGGGCTCCACGCCTGGCATTTTGACAAAAGAACGCGCCATGACACGTTCGAAGGGCGCCAATTTGGGGACAACAAGTGGTATGACATGACGATTTCATGGATATATATATATATATTCATAATATATATATAATATATTATATTGTATATATATATACACACATATATATACACACACATATATATATATTTATATATACACATATATATATATATTTGTATGTATGGAGGTTTCCTAAAATGCGGGTACCCCCAAATGATTTCAATTCTTAGTAATAGCAGTTTCCATTATAAACCATCCATTTTCTGGGTACCGATTTAGGACCCCCCCATATGTACATAATAGGAAACCAAAATTCTCTCGGGGATCAAACACATTAATAATTAATGTGGCATGTGGGAATATTTGGGATATAACATGCGGATACATTCTGGCATAATTGGATACAAAAACCAACTTTATGTGGGATGCAATTTCATGGCCCCCGGCCATGAAGCCGGTAGGGAAAGTAGGTAAAGGATAGTCCCCCAAATGGCCGGGTTCATTTTCGAAGTAAACTTTTGACCATGGATTGTCTCTTCAATGTCCGTCTTCAAAACGTACAATCCTGTGATATCTTTTTTTTCACTGGATTACCCTGCTGTAAACTAACGATGTTGAAAACATTTGAAAACCGACCACTTGTAGACTACTTGTAGATCATCCACACTCGACCTAGTCGACCTAGGTAGTCTACCAAAAATATCTTGGGCACGTCCCATCCAAGTTGGTTGAGCCAAAAAGGTCGTGTGGTTGTCCAGAGTCCAAAGACACATGAAAAAAACCTTCTGGTAATTTGTTACATAGCGAACTGGAAAATGGCCCATTTATAGATTATTTACCTCTTTAACATGGTGATTTTCAATAGCTATGTGAAATTACCAAAAGGTAATTAGTAATATGTTTGAAACCACTGGCTAGAAGTGTAACCTCAAAGATTTCGAGTGCAGTACTGAATTTTCCCATATATTACAACCATTCACGCCTGTTGTTCAATGTTTTGTTCGTAAACAACAAGTTTTCATCTGTCCCCACTTGTTTTTTCTAAAGTCCCTTTCAGCGGAGCAAACTCATGGTTCCTCCGCAGAAACGTCTGACAAGGTTGGCGCGGAAACCTTGCCCTTAAAGGTTGCGACGCTGGGTTGGCCAGTGTACGGTTTTTTTCTTCCAAAAACTGTTGCTATGGTTCTAAAAGAAATCTAATCTTCATGTCTATATCTTAATCTTCATTTTTGGTAGGTCGTGGCTCAATTTTAAGGTGTTGCCGACTCTTGTTGGCGAAACTGTTGGTGAACACTAAACACCAACATTTTTGCATGTGAAGTCTCCCGTTTCCCGGAGAATTTGCAATCGCAAATCTATTCAAGCGCAGAGACCATCATGAATTAGCCTCTGGTAAATAAACAGTTGGACCCTGAAAATTACCGATTTTTCATGGACACTAATCTTCCAACCCCGACAACTGCCAGGGTCTATGTTAATTTACTGGTGGGTAAATGATGATATACTCTTCCGTTTGGATGACCCTGGAACTTAGCAGTCTTGAAAAGTTTTCCGGCAGCTTGTATCCTATGACTGGCGCAAATTTCGTGCTACGAAATTGGCAAAAGCCAAACATTGACCAAAAGGTTTAAATTCAAATATTTTGAAGAACCACAGTTCTGTTGGTCAAAATCGAAATGCTTGTTTCAACTGATATTCCAGATTTTCCCAACTTCCCCCACATCTTCAAGTGATTTTCTAGATGTTCGCACGATTTTCCCAGCATTTTCCAGCCACATTTTCCAGCTCCCAGCCCCCGTCTCTGTCCTGGCGCCAGTCCGTGACAACGCCAGTGCAGTGCAAAGGGCCTCATTGCCTGACAGTTCGTTGGGGGTTGGCCGCTTATGAAAAACGTGGCTATGGAAAATGGCCCAGTTGTAGATGATTTATGGTGATGTAGCTTTTCTTAGAATGGTAATTTTAAATGGGCACTTTGGATAATTGTTTATCCAACAAGAATATGTTGACGTGATGGGAATGGCATGGGAATATAATGGGAAATAGCTTTACAGCAAGAATTGTACGTATCATTTTCCATTTTTGATAAACATAAATAACCGATAGAGAACCGATGGAAATATGGGCAAACATGCGGCTCAACTCTGGAGTAAAAGTTTTGGGTACACAGTTGTCACCCTCCAAGCGAAACGGTTCATGTTCCGCAGAATTGGAGATTCTCCGGCTAGTAGGTAGTCAATAACCAGCACATACCAGTACACATCTGGAGTATACTTCATACCCTCTGGTAAACCCATATAACTATGGAAAATCAATATTCTTAATGGGTAAATCCACTAAAAATGGTCATGTTCAATAGCTATGTTAAGTTACCAGAGAGTAACTATATAACGAAGTCAACTGGTTGGTGGTTTCAACCCCTCTGAAAAATATTAGTCAGTTGGGATGATTATTCCCAATATATGGATAAATGAAAAATGTTCCAAACCACCAACAAGTCATATATCGAAATTAAATCCCCATATCCATTCGATCGCAGGTACATCCCTAATATACCATGGTTTATTAATCCGGGGTTGACATTAACTATATAACGAAGTCAATCATAAAGTCCAAAGGTTGGATCAGTTCAGCAATGCGTTCTGTTTTGTTGGTCTTCCTGCACCCTGACAGTCGGTTTTCTGACGTTGCCTCCCCGGGTCAGTGTGTTGTCACTATCTTGATCACAGTCAAACCCAGCTTCAGTAATGAGATGGACAAAAAACATCATGTAGTGCTTCGTCTAGCTGCTATAGCCTGGTCCGCTTGGTGGCTGTCCATTCCCGATGCTTTCATAAACCAACATGTCGGAAACGTTTGGCTCTCCAGTCTTCTCAAGTATTGTTAAATCAAGAACCTCACTGCTGGTCAAATCCCGATGTGAAAAAAACATGATCCGCTTGCTGCCCGTTTTTTTGCATGCTGGCAACTAGCCGCACAGTCTGGTTGGCGAACCAGTCACCGAGTTTATGGATTATTTTTCCAACAAACCCATATTTCAGTTGATCAAACCTCTATTTCTGGTTGCTTCATGCCCGAATTCTCGGAGGTTGGTTCACATCAAACCCTGCAGTGTTTGGTGATACCAATCCTGCAGTGTTTGTAAAATCCAAAGCTTGGGTCCCCGTTTCCAGCTCCCCATCGGTCCGACATATTGACCAGAAACCTTGGAATTCACCAATGTCAACTAGTTCAACTAGGGAGATATAACCATGGTTTTGACAATATACTTGGCCAAATAACCATAATTTTATAGGGTTACTTGACAATTCAGGTTTTGGTTATATACCTATTTGTGCCATAAACAAAACATGATGACCATCCAGCTATAGGGATCTAATCCAACTCTTGATGGCACACAAAAGTTACAAACATACAAAAATCTATGTATATATGGGGGTTTCCATAAATGTTGGTACCCCAATAGCTGGATGTTTTTTTTCTGGAAATTCCTCTTAAAATAGATGACTTTGGGGTACCCATATTTCAGGAAACCTCCATATATGTATATATACACAATATAAGTACTGGTTCTTCTCACCACAAGCCATCTATATCTAGCTATTTTTGATGGCTACAAGCCATATGTGCTATTGTCAAAACACAGTATTACTTGGAGGATCATTTCACGAATCGTAAGTGGTTAATAACCCAGGTGATCGTGTCAATGGGAATTCCAGGATCCTAAAATGAAGGTACTGTACCATATAAGGCTATATTTTGTGGCGATATTCCCTTACATAGGCCTAAAAAATAGGCCTTATATATGGAATCGGTACCTCCAATAAATCGGTTCCTGAAATCGCCATTGATCGTAAGTCCCCTAAGTGGGTGATCCCGCCTATGGATGCACTAACTATGGGATGATCTCACCACGATTTGTGGGATGATCCTCCAAGAATAAAGGGTAACCTTCTATGGGTTACTCATATTGGATGTTTAATTGGCTAAATCCGCGCTGACGAGTTAGATCTAGTTAGTTGACATTTACCGATCCTTACATTCTATATATAATGTTTCATATTATATATTCCAGGACCTAGAAGATCTTACACATATAGAATACATATATATATAAATATATATGTATATATACACCAATCCTTACTAGTTAGATCTAGTTCACATGTTCTCTACATGGGGGTTTCTAAAATATGGCCACCCCCAGTTCTCATCCATTTATGGATGTTTTTTCCATAAAATAAACCAACCATTTGGGGTATCCCTGTATGGAAACCATCATATTCTAGTTTCATATTACATGAATCCCTCAAAAGAAAGGATATGAACCATGGGCATTCTGGTGGCTAGTGTCAACTCCCGGAATTTTCATATTCCGGGCACCACCTGGTTGGTGGTATACCTACCCCTCTGAAAAATATGCGTTCGTCAGTTGGGATGATGAAATTCCCAATATATCAATGGGAATTTCAGGATCCTAAATTGGAGGCTTTGTACAATCCACCCGTTTCGGACGCCGTTTCCGTGCGCCTCAGCGACGCTGCGCACCTTGCGAGGCTTGGTGCTGGGGTGATCGATGCGCTTGGGCACCTGCGGCAACGCCAAGCTGTGGAGAGGTGCTTGGGTAATGAGGATTACCAGGGGTTATAACATGGGATTGATCTGTATATATGCTATATATAAATATACACAGGTAAATATGTATATATATATATATATCCGTGTATATATATATATGTATTTATGTATGTATGTAATGTTATGTTATGTTATGTTATGTTATGTTATTAATGTATGTATGTATGTATGTATGTATGTATGTATGTATGTATGTATGTATGTATGTATATGTATATACACAATCATATACGTACATATATTATGTAAGTAATGATGTTTCATAGGAAAATCATATATTGTGCGATGTACCCATGGGAAACTTTGCCAGTTCCAGATGATATACCTCAACACGGTGATTCATTGTGATTTACTTATCAAAA